TGGATGGATGCAGGGATGGATGGATGGATGCAGGGCTGGATGGATGCAGGGATGGATGGATGCAGGGATGGATGGACCCAGGGATGGATGGATGGATGCAGGGATGGATGGATGCAGGGATGGATGGACCCAGGGATGGATGGATGGATGCAGGGCTGGATGGATGCAGGGCTGGATGGATGCAGGGCTGGATGGATGGATGCAGGGATGGATGGATGCAGGGATGGATGGATGCAAGGATGGATGGACCCAGGGATGGATGGATGGATGCAGGGATGGATGGATGGATGCAGGGCTGGATGGATGCAGGGATGGATGGATGGATGCAGGGATGGATGGATGGATGCAGGGATGGATGGACCCAGGGATGGATGGATGGATGCAGGGATGGATGGATGCAGGACAGACACAGGGCTGGATGCAGGGCTGGGTGAGCCCACGGATGCAGACACTTGGGCCCCGCGGGGCGCACGTACGAAGCAGTGGGTCTGCAGGGGGCCCGTGCACCCCCCCGCGCACTCCTCGTGGCAGCACTCGTTGGGCGCCCGCCCGAAGCAGCGCCCGTTGCATTGCGGGGCGCAAATCGTCTTGGTCACTGCGGGGGGGGCAGGGGGTGAGGCCGAGGCCAGCCCTGACCCCCCCATCCCATCGCCCCCCCGGTACCCACGTTTCTGGCAGTCCTCGGGGCCGGGTCCCCAGCAGTGGCCGCCGCAGCTCTCGTGGCAGGGGGGGCCTGGGGTGGGGGGGGCAGAATGGGGTCACCCCAGGGCCGGGGGGGGGGGGGGGCACAGCAGCATCGCCCCCGAGGCCGGGGGTGCCCCCCCCACGCACAGGCCTTGCCGTTGTCGCCCACGATGGGCTGGCGCCGTGGGTCCCGCAGGATGTCCTCCCACTGCACCGTGTCCACGTGGCAGAGCTGCGCGTTCTTCTCGATGTAAACCCCCCCGGCCAGGATCTCTGTGGGGCAACGGGGACATGGGGGGCAATGGGGGCAACGGGGCAAAGGGGACCATGGGGACAACGGGGCCATGAGGGGAATGGGGGCAATGGTGGACAATGGAGGCACTGGGGACCAGGGGGCAATGGGGGATAATGGGGACCATGGGGGATAATGGGGACTATGGGGACAACAGGGCCATGGGGGCAATAGGGGACAATGGAGGCACTGGGGACCATGGGGGCCATGGAATGCACAAGGGGTAGCACTGCTTCGGGTGAGGACCACGGGACAGTACCACTCCAGGATGGGGACCATGGGACCTGCAGGGTCAGCACAGCCTCGTGGTGACACCGCTCTGGGATGGGGACCAGGACACAGAGGGGACAGCATCGCTCTGGATGGGGACCAGGGGCATGGAAGGATCCGGGATGGATGGAGGGATGCAGCCCGGTGCAAGCACCAGGATGTGGCTACCCTGGGATGGGGACCGCAGCATCACCTCCCTGAGGGATGGGGACCGGGATGGGGACCGCAGCATCACCTCCCTGAGGGATGGGGACCGGGATGGGGACCGCAGCATCACCTCCCTGAGGGATGGGGACCGGGATGGGGACCGCAGCATCACCTCCCTGAGGGATGGGGACCGCAGCATCGCCCCGGGCTGGCACCACCAGGGGATGGGGACCGGGGTGGGGGGGGACGGACGGCACCAGGACCGGGGGGGGCTGTGTGTGGGGGGTACCTGTGAGCTGGTTGAGGCCGAGCTGCCGCAGCGCGTGGGTGCTGTTGGGGTTGTAGTTGAGCAGCACGAAGAGCGCAAACTGCTCCTCGTAGAACTGGGTCCCGCGGATCACGCGCAGGTTCCGCAGCGGCAGCGCCGCGAACACGTTCATGGCGATCAGGATGTAGCCCGTGACCTCCCGGATGGTCTGCGGCAGGGGCACAGCACCCCCGGCGTCACCCGGGGGCCACATCCTGCGCACCCTCCCTTCCCCGTGCCCCCCCCAGCACCGCACCTGCAGGAAGGACAGGTCCTGCGTGTGGTCGATGAGGACGATCTCCAGGTTGCCCAGCACCACCTCGCAGTTGTTGTACATCTTGTGCAGGGTCTGGTACTGGTGCTGAGCGTCCCCGGTCACGCTCAGCCCGTTCAGGGTCCCCGCACACACTGCGGGCACAGCGGCGTCCCTCAACTGCGGCCACGGCCCCCCCTTGAGCCCATGTCCCCTCCTTGATGTTCATGTGCCCCCTTGATGTCAATGTCCCCCCATTGATGTCCATGTTCCCGTTGATGTCCATGTCCCCCCACCGATGTCTGTGTCCCTAATGGTGCCCATGTCCCCCCCTTGATGTCCATGCCCCCAATGGTGCCCATGTCCCCCCCTTTGATATCCATGCCCCCCTTGATGTCCATGCCCCCATTGATGTCCATATCCCCCCCCTTGATGTCCATGCTCCCCTTGATGTCCATGCCCCCAATGGTGTCCATGTCCCCTTATTGACGTCCATGTTCCCCCCTTGATGTCCATGTCCACCCCCTTGATGTCCATGCCCCCAATGGTGTCCATGTCCCCTTATTGACATCCATGTTCCCCCCTTGATGTCCATGTCCACCCCCTTGATGTCCATGTCCCTCCCTTATTAACGTAAATGTCCCCCCATTAATGTCCACATCCCCCAATGATGTCCATGTCCCCCCCGATGTCCATGTCCTCTAATTGATGTCCATGCCCCCATTGATGCCCATGTCCCCCCATTGACATCCATGTCCCCCCCTGATGTCCATGCCCCCACTGATGTCCACATCCCCCCATTGATGTCCACATCCCCCCATTGATGTCCATGCCCCCATTGATGTCCACATCCCCCCATTGATGCCCACGTCCCCCAACGGTGTCCATGTCCCCTGTGATGTCCATGCCCCACTGATGTCCACATCCCCCCATTGATGTCCATGCCCCCATTGATGTCCACATCCCCCCATTGATGTCCATGTCCCCCCCACTGATGTCCACATCCCCCCATTGATGTCCATGCCCCCATTGATGTCCATGTCCCCCCATTGATGTCCATGTCCCCCCTGATGTCCATCCCCCCATTGATGTCCACATCCCCCCATTGACGTCCATGTCCCCCCCGATGTCCATCCCCCCACTGATGTCCACATCCCCCCATTGATGTCCACGTCCCCCAATGGTGTCCCCGTCCCCCCCATCCCTGCCCCCGCCCCCCCACTGCCGCACCCCCTCCCTGTCCCGTCTCCCCCCCCCGCCCTCCGCAGCAGCGCCCCCGCCCGGGGCTCTCGGTGCCGGTGCCCGAACCGGCCGGGCGAGCCTTGCGCAAGGCGGCCGCGGGCCCGGCCCCGCTCCCAGCGCCCCCGACGCCGGACTTCGGCCCCGGCCCCGCCTCGGTGCCCGGAGCCGGGGCTGGGGCTGGGGCCGGGGGGGACCCCGGGGCCGTCGGGGGGGGCGCGGACAGAGGCGCTTTGTGCGCGGGGCCCCCTCCCCGCCGCCGCACAAAGGGGCGATTGTGGAGAACGGGGCACGGGGGGGGGCGCGGAGCCCCCCGGGACCCCCGGGGCACAGCGGGGTGCGGGGCCCCCCCCAGACGTGAGTCAGGGCCCGGCGCGGGGGGGCCGCGGCGGTAAAAGGCGGCTTTGTGCTGCCCCAGCGCGGGGGCACGGAAGGGGCCCGAGCCCCCCCCCCCGCAGGGAACGGGCAGCGCGGGGCACGCAGGGGAAGGGGCGAGCCCCCCCCGCCCGCCGCGGCAGCGATGGGAAGGGAAGGGAAGGAAGGGGCTATATAAAGGTCCCAGCTGCGCTCTGGAATGGCCCCAGCCCCGACGGGCCGGGGATGGGCGCGGGTTGGGGGTGGCTTGGAACGAGGGGGGGGTGTGGGGGGGCTGCAACCTCAAAGGATTCATTTGGGGACCCCCGCAAAGCCGCTGGGGGTTGGGGGGGGGGGAAAGTGGGGGGCAGGACCCAGCCCTATGGGACCCCCATGAGCCATTAACAGCGGCTCAACCGCTCCCGCGGCCACAGCGGGGGCCGGGGGGTGCGGGTCGGGTCTTTGGGGTGCACCTGCCCGCGGGGGGGTGCAGAGCGCTCCCCCCCCCCATCCCGGCCTCGCCGCCGCCGCGTTATCAGCGCGGGGCCCCGCTGGCAGCTCCGCAGCCGCCGCTATCGCCCGCGTGCCCCCGGCCCCCGCTGCCAGGAATAGAACCGGGACCCGCGGGGGGGCCTCGGGCGGGGGGGGGGGGCCCAAAGCGGGCTCCGAGCGGGGGCAGCGGGGCCGGGAGCGCCCCCCCCCCCCCCCCCGCGGTTCGGAACAAACTCGGGGCGAAGCCGCCGTTTCCGGGACCTTCCCCCCCCCCCCCCCCCCCCCGACGGGACCCCGGGGCTCCGGGGGGGGCGCAGGTGCCGCTGTGGGGGGGGAGCCGAGCCCCGGTCCCGGTCGCAGCCCGGGGGGGCTCCGCTGGTGCCGGTCCCCACCGGGGCGCGGTTGGAGGGGAGGGAGCGGCGGGGGCCGGGATCGCACCCTTGGCCCCCCCCGCTGCCGGTGCCGGTGCCGGTGCTCACCTGCCTGCGCGGAGCCGGGCGCGGGGGCGCGGAGCAGCAGCAGCGGCAGCAGCGGCAGGAGCCGGTACCGGTACCGGGGCCGCTCCATCGCGGCTCGCAGCGGGGCCCCGCGGTCGCGGCGTGCCCGGGCGCGGCGGGGGGAATGCACCTGGCGCGGGGCCGTCGGGGCGGGGAGGACGAGGCGGGGCCCCCCCGGGCAGAGCGGAGCGAGCCCCGCCCGCCGCGCCCCGGGACGGCCCCCCCCAACCCGGCCCCGCCTCCATCAGGTGCAACCGGTGCCGCGGCCGCCCCATAGCCCCGGGGGGGGTCCAGCCCCCTCCAGTGCAGGGGCAGCGCCGGGATGGGGGTCACAGAGCCCCACAACCACCCCATCCCCTGCCACTGGGGGGGCAGAGCCCCCCCGGAAGCCTCATTTCCCCCCCCCCCCCCCAACTCTGCCCCATAGCGGCGCATTCCCCCCCCCAAAACACAGGGCACGGGCTGGGAGCAAGCTCCTTTATTGATCCCGCAAGCAGGGCTGGGCTCCAGCGGCGGCTCCTCACATGGGCTTCGGGGGGGGCCGGGGGGCTGCACCCTGGAGGGGGGGGACACAGCGTCAGGCAGGGCTTGGGGGGTGAAACCCCATTTCCCCCCATAGGTACAGGTAATGTATAACGTGTAATATGTAACATCATCTATACACACAGCGTCAGCCAAAGCTAGGGGGGAGGAATTGGGGGGGAAGAACTGGAGGGAGGAATTGGGGGGAGGAATTAGGGGGGGAGGAATTGGAGGGAGAAATTGGGGGGAAGGAACTGGGGGGGGAGGAATTGGGGGGGGGAATTGGGTGGGAAGAATTGGGGAGGAAGAATTGGAGGGAGGAACTGGGGGGCAGGGACTTGGGGCAGAGGAATTGGGGGGGGAGGAATTTGGGGGAGAAATTGGGGGGAGGAATTAGTGGGGAGGAATTGAGGGGGAGGAATTGGGGGTGGGAGGAATTGGGGGGGGAACTGGAGGAAGGAATTGGGGGGGACTGAACCCGCATTCCCCCCCATATACATTAAGCATCAACCAGGCCTTAGGAGAGGGCTCAACCCCCTTTCCCCCCCCCATTCACACAGCATCAACCAGGCCTTGGGGGGGGTTGAGCCCCACTCCCCCCCCTGCACCTACAGCGGGGCGGAAGCGGGGCGGGGGGGTCCGGTCCTTGCGCGCCTCCCGCGAGCGGTTCCGCACCACCTTGCTGTGGATGGCGCAGCTCACGCAGTAATGGAGCTTCACGTAGAGCTTGGGCAGCACATAGGCTATGGGGCAGGGGGGACACAGGGGGTCAGTGACCCCCAGAGCTCCCCCCCCGGAGCCGCGCTATGGGGCTGGGGGCTATGCTATAGGGCTGGGCCCCCTCTATGGGGCTGGGGCTGTGCTATGGGCCTTGGGGAAGCGCTATGGGGCTGGGGCAGCGCTATAGGGCTGGGCCCCCTCTATGGGGCTGGGGGCTGCGTTATGGGCCTTGGGGAAGCGCTATGGGGCTGAGGCTGTGCTATGGGGCTGGGGCCGCGCTATAGGCCTAGGGGAAGCGCTATGGGGCTGGGGGCCGCACTAGGGGCCTACGAGAAGCGCTATGGGGCTGGGCCCCTGTTATGGGGCTGGGGCCGCGCTATGGGGCTGGGGGCCATGCTATGGGGCTGGGGCTGCGTTATGGGCCTTGGGGAAGCGCTATGGGGCTGGGGCTGCGCTATGGGGCTGAGGCCGCGCTATGGGGCTGGGGGAAGCGCTATGGGGCTGGGCCCCTGTTATGGGGCTGGGGCCGCACAATGGGGCTGGGGGCCACACTCTGTGCCTGGGGCAAGCGCTATGGGGCTGGGGGCCGTGCCCCCGCTCTGGGGCACTCACAGTCGAAGACGCTCGCCTCCGAGATGTCCCTGACGGCCGCCGCCTCCACGATGTTGCGGATGACGAACTTCTTGATGGCCTTGTCCTTGGGCACGCAGCGCGCGCAGTTGGTGCAGCGGATGGGCTGCACGTGCCCGCGGCCCTTCTTGGCGCGCCCGTTGTTCCTGCGCTTCTTCGTCTGCCATGGGGCACGGGGGGGGATGGAGCGGGACCCCCCCCCCCCGCCCCATAGGAGCCCCAAGGACAGGCCCCTAGAGCGGCTCTTCCCAGCATCCCCTGCCCCATATAGGCCCTATGGTGGCCACCCCCAACCAGCATCTCTTTCCCCATATGGACCCCATATAGGCCCCCCATAGCCCCTATGGACCCCATGTAGGCCCCACAGCCCCTATGGACCCCATATAGGCCTCCCGTAGCCCCTACGGATCCCATACAGGCCTTCCATATCCCCTATGAATCCCATACAGGCACCGCATAGCCCCTACGGACCCCATACAAGCCCCCCATAGCCCCTATGTACCCCATATAGGCTCCCCATAGCCCCTGTGGACCCCATATAGGCCCCCATAGCCCCTATGGACCCGATACAGGCCCCCCATGGCCCCTATGGACCCCATACAGGCTCCCCATAGCCCCTATGGACCCCATACAGGCTCCCCATAGCCCCTATGGACCCCATACAGGCCCCCCATAGCCCCTATGGACCCGATACAGGCCCCCCATGGCCCCTATGGACCCGATACAGGCCCCCCATGGCCCCTATGGACCCCATACAGGCTCCCCATGGCCCCTATGGACCCCATACAAGCCCCCCATAGCCCCTATGGACCCCATACAGGCTCCCCATAGCCCCTGTGGACCCCATACAAGCCCCCCATAGCCCCTATGGGCCCCATACAAGCCCCCCATAGCCCCTATGGGCCCCATACAAGCCCCCCATAGCCCCTATGGACCCCATACAAGCCCCCCATAGCCCCTATGGGCCCCATACAGCCCCCCCATAGCCCCCCACGTGCCCCCGCCCGCGCCGCTCTCACCATGGCGCTCCCGAGGCCCGCGAAAGAGGACCCGGCCGCCGCACTGCCGCCCTTATAAAGGTCTCCCTCCGCCCGGAAGCGCCTCCGCCGCCGCCCCGGGGCCGCTCCGGCTCCTCCGCCCCCAGCGCCGCCCCGGTCCCGCCGCAGCGGCCCCACCGGAGGGGCGGGGGGGGGAACGGGGCCGAGCGGGGCCCAGGGTGGCGGCGGCGGCGAGGCGGGTTAAGGGACTACTTCTCATCGCCGCGGCGGAGGGATCGGAGCGACTTGAGGTGTGAGGCGTTCAGTGCGTGCTGCGCGTGACGTCATTCCGCCGAGCGCGCCGCGGGGGATGCTGGGAGTTGTAGTCCCAGGGGCTCATGGGGACCCCCAGCCCCGTCCCCAACATCCTGACCCCCCCCCCCCCCCCAGGGCTCTGTGGGGACCCCCAGTGGGTCCCCCCTTTATGAACCGGGTCCAACCCCCCCATCCCTTAAAGGGACCCCCCCAATGTGTGTGTGCCCCTTGTGGGGGGGTCCCCACTGTGTGTATGTGTCCCCTGGGGGGGGGGTCCCCAATGTGTCCCCCAGTTACCCCTGGGGGGAGGCTCAATGCGTCCTGTGCCCCCCTCATCACCCTCGGGGTGTGCGTCCCACAGTGACCCCTAGGGGGGGCAGTTCCCAGCATCCCCCCCCATCACCTTTGTGGGCAGGGGGGTCCCCACTGTGTGTCCTCCCCATCACTTTGGGGGTGCGGGGGGGGTCCGTTAAATTACTCGGGTTTATTTATAACAGACCTTCAGCCATTACAGTACAAAACTTACAGTAGATCTCGTTACACAAAGAGGTACTTACAATATCTTACAGGTACAAAAGCTCCTGGGGGGGGTCCAACAGCGCCTGGAACCCCCCAAGCCAAGCCAACAGCAAAGCCATTAACGAGAGACAACTGAAACCCAAGGGAGGGAGCAATGGGATGTAAAGGGGTGGGGGGGGGACACACGGGGTATTGCACATCATCATCATCATCCTCACCCTCATCATCCTCAGGGTTTGTTCTTCATCCATCTGCTTCAAAAATAGACATTTACAGAGTAAAGCGCCTGGAGGTGTACAAAATTCCTAGGGTCGGCAGGGGGAATGGAATTCCATAGGGAAAAGGAAGGAAAAGAACAAAAGACACCCCCCCCCCCCCCCCCAAGTAATGAACCAACCCAAGGGTGCTCCAAGTGCAGCGCTTGGTTTGGGTTGGAAAAGCCCCTTTTTGGGGTGGTTTGGGGGGGTGGGGGGGGAGAAGGGGGGGGCTGAGCCCCAGTGATCCCCCTCCATATAGAAAGGGGGGGGTTAAATATATATCTAATAATAATAGTAATAATATTAATTAATAGCAAAAGGGGGGGGAACAGGGGCAACGGGAGCTGTTGCCGCCGCATTGAGGTGGTTGCGTTGGTACAAAAGGAACAGGCTTTGGTTTCACCCTCAGGAGCCCCCGGGGGGGCTTTTATGCGTCCTGGGCCTGGGGGGGGGGGGAATCAGGGCCCCCCCCCCAAGGGATATGGATATAAAGAGGGGGGGATGCGGGAGGGCACCAGCATCGGGTGAGGCCCCCGCTTCATTTTTGGTTCGCGGCTGCTTTCCCCTTTGGATAAGGGACCCCAAAGGGGGGCCTGGGCAACCCCCCCCATGTGTTCTGCCCCCCCCCCTCGCCCTAAAGCCATCCCAAAGGATTGAGGATCCAAAGCTCCATGCTGGGGGTGTTGATACCCCGAAGAGGAGTGACCCTGGAGCACCGGGAGAGCCCCCCCCAATCCCTTGGGAATGGCGAGGGGGGAAGGAGGAGGAGGAGATCCCATCTTCCTGCCTTCATTTAAGGGGAGCAATATGGAATCTCATCCTCCCCCCCAAGCAGGGCTAAGTATGGGGACGGGGGTGGGGTTCAAATCCCATTGGGAATCACCGGGTAAATCCGGCAGCACCGGGAAGGGGGGGGGCAGCAGCGGGTCCCCCAGGATAGACTCATTAAAGCTCAGGGTGCAGCGACCCCCCCAAACCGGGTTAAATGGGGGGGGGGTCACAGCTGATGGAGGTGGGGGGGGTCCCATAGAGGGGGGGGTTAGCACCGAATCTGAGGTTTGACCAAGGAAAGGGCTTGGAGCCGGGATCGGGATCGGGATCAGGAAGAGCCCCAGCGAGTGTGACTCCAAAAGGGGCAGAAGAGATAGAAAAGAGCAACTCAAGAGCTCAATAAATAACAATGGGAGGGAGGTGTTTTTTGGGGGGGGGACCCAAAAAAGTCCATTAGTATTTAAATATAAAAAGGCAAATGGTTCCCAGCCCCCCCCTCCCCCCGGGGGGGGGTTCAGGGTGGTTTTGGGAGTGATTTTTTTCTTTTTCCATCGTTTTTGTTTGTTTTTCGTAGCCAAAATCAGTGCAAAGGAGGTAAAAAAGAACAACAACAGTTCCATGCCCGAGGGTCGGGGGGGGGGGGGGGGCTGAGCGAGAGCCAAGGGATGGGGATAACGGGGGTAACGGGGATAACGGGGATAAGGGGGGGGGTGTTAACCAACTTTGTGCTCGCCCCTCACGATGTGGGAGGAGAACTCGTACCGGTCCTGGCTGTGGTAGCCACAGATGTTGCACTCGAAAGGGTCTCTGAAGCCGTGGCAGCCCATGTGGATGGTGAACATGACGTGGTCCAGGAAGAGGATGCGGCAGTGCTCGCACTTGAAGGCCCGGAGCTGCTCCCCGTCCTCATTGAGCACCCTCAGCGCTTCTTTGGCAGAGCTCGGGGTGGAGCGGGCGGCCGGGGGCCCCTCCGGCACCTTGGGGTCCTCTTTGGCGTAAGCTGGGCTCTGGCGGCTGCTCCCCGCGGGCCCCTGCGAGCTCCGCTCCTCGTGGTTGCTCTCGGTGTCGCTGGAGTCGGCGCAGCCGTTGGGGGGGGACCCGGCGTGCTCCCGGCCCCGGTACAGCACCGGCACGGCGTCGCCCACGTCCTCGTGGCCCTCGGCCGCCTCCCGGCCCCCCGGCAGCTCCAGCCGGGCCGGCAGCGCCTGGAGCTGGGTGTAGACGGAGCTGATGACGGGGGTCACCTCCGAGATGCAGTTTGTGGGGGGCAGGCGGAGGCCGCGGAGGTGCTCCCCCCCCAGCAGGGATAGGGGGGCGCCGTAGGCAGGGTCCAGGGGGTGATGGGCTGAGACCATCTCCACGTCCTTCTCGAAGCCGGAGTTGACGTCGAAGGGGAGGTCCGAGAGGCTGAACCTCATCTGCTTCTCCCCTATGGAAGCAGAGCGGGGTCACAGCGGGCTTTGGGTCCCGTGGCCCCTCCGTCCCCAGCATCGCTGCGGCGCTATGGGACACACACACACACACACACACGGATGGACTCCCCTTTGCCCCTCCTCATCCCAACGGGAATCCAACGGGAATCCCCTTACCCACGAACTTCTGGGGCGTGGAGCGTTTCCTCTTGGTGAGGCTGCTGGCCAGGCGGTCGATGAAGCTGGGCCGCTCGGAGGAGGGATGCAGCAGCGCCTCCGGCACCATCTCCAGCTCCCTCATCTCCTCCCCTGGCAAAGAGAGAAGGGAAAAGCCAGGTCAAGGCGGGCGCCGGACCCCGCAGCCGCTGCTCCTGCCCTCTGCCAGCCGGGATGGACGTGGGGAAAGGCTCCTCTGCTCCAGGCCCAGAGCTTACCCCGTGGGTGCCTCGGTCGCGGGGCGGCCGCTCCTCCCTTCTTCCTCGAGCTGCGCCCGCTCCTGCCGCTTTGGGGAAGAGGAGCCGGCTTCAACGCATGCAAGTGCCCCATTCCCGCTATTCCTGGGGGTGCTCAGCCCATCCCGCGGGGATGCCGGCCTCCGGAACGGGGCGGGGGGTGAGGAGCAGGGAGGCTCCGGCATAGCCAAGCCAAGGGGGCTGCTTGCTGGCTCCCAGGAGCACCAAAAGGCGCTTCCAAGCCACTCGGTGCCCATTGCCCTCGATATAAGGAGCAAAGCGGGGGGGTGTGGGGTGTCCATTCAAGGGGGAGTTTTCCATTTGGGAAGCTCTGGGATTCAGCTGCCGGCACGGGCAGGAAGCAGCGAGGTGCCCCTTGCAGAGCTGCGGGGCTCCCCCTTCTCCACCGGGAATGCCGATCCCTGTGTGCTCCCCCCGTGCCCCACTGACCTGCCTGGCTGGCCAGGGCCGGCGGCTCCGGGTGCAGGCTCTGCAGGTAGCTGTGGCACCGCTCCTTGTGCTCCTCCAGCGTGCTCTGCTGCTTGTAGCTGCGGCCGCAGTAGTTGCACTTGTAGGGCTTGCCCACCGTAGGGGAGGAGACTGCAAGGGAGAAAGGCAGAGCCGGGTTGGAAGCACCTGGGAAGGGCTGGATAGAGGCAAGGGGATGGAGGAGCCAGCAGGAGAAGGGCTGTGGGCGCTGCTGGAGCACTGGAATCCATCAGGATACGGCCCAAACCACCAGCACCAGGTAATGGAAGAGGTGTAACTCCGTTACACCGATGGAAGAGTGGGATTTAAGGTGCTTGGCATCCTTTGGAAAGGTCATGGATACAGGGATGCAGGCTCCAAGGGGCCAGGACCTGCCTGAGCCCGTTTTGCTCTTTTCCGGCCCCATTTTGGGGCGGTTCTGGGGTTTCCTGCAGGTTGTGGTGTGAACCGGGCTTCCCAAGCCCTGCCCCAGCTCCTGTGTTCCTGCCCCGTCCATTCCCAGCTCCGGATGCTGATGCCGGGATCCAGGATGAGGATCCATAGGAATCAATGCGGAGAAGCCGATGAGAAGAGCGCTGGCCTGGAGCGGTGAAGATGGGTTTGCTCCACCTGCCTCCAAGCAGGATTCCCAGGCAGGAATTCACTCCCAGATCCAACCACTTGGAAGCGGAGCCTCGCTTCCCGAATTCCGCTCCAATCCCCAAGCTCAGAGCTCTCCAGATGCCTCAGTTCTGCTCCTCCTAAACCAAGCAGCATCCCAAACCCTGTGCTCGTGCATCCCAAAGCTCCCCCCCAGTGGCTCTGTTCCAAGCCATAGGGATACCCTGAAGTTATTCCCTCGGGATCCGGTTTGGGATTCAGGGCTCAATCCTGGTGTGGAGGCTCTGTCTGTGCTTGCAGAGGGTCAGGAATGGGGTTTATGGTGGGAGGGAGGCTCCATCCTTTGCCTTGCGATCCGTGCCTTTTCCTTTCATTCCTTCCTCTGGGAATTCGCTCCCCACAACGTCCCGGCGGCCTCGGCCCCTCCATCCATCACCTCACAGGAGCTCCCAGCCAGGTCCATTGAGGATCTTCCCCCCTAAACCAGGAGCCATGGGAATGATCCCCCACGGAGAATCCTTTTACCACCAAGTACAGGAGCAGAGGGGCAGCTCCGGGATGGATTCCTTGTGGATGGGGCCCCGGAGGAGCCGCAGCCTCTGATCTCGGCCGTGTTTGATGTGGGTTTGATCCGGGGAGCGCATCCTGCGAGATGAAAGCTCCTGCTCCCCATGGGGCTGCGCAGGGAAGGCAGAGGGAGGCTGAGCCAGGCCTGACCCAGCCTCTTCCCTCTGCAATCCCCATTAAAGCCAGGCTTTTCTTAGTAACGAGCTCCCAGAAAAGCTCCTTGTGCTTGGAGATGCCGGAAGGACTCGCCCCAGATCCGTGCCTCTCCGTGAAGGGCTCCACGAGACCCTTTCCGTGCCGGGCAGCGGGGAGGCGGCAGCTCCGGATGCTCAGCGAGGGGCGAGGCGGTGGCAAAGCCCAAACCCCCTCTTGTGAGGTGCCCCATTCCCAGCCTGGCTCCCGGATTCCTCCCCAGCATCCCCTGGGAAGCCTCAGGTGTGTGCGGGAAGGAGAGGAACTCCCGACAGGAAGAGCAAAGCGGGAAGATGCAGGCTTAAACCCGGAGCATCGCATCCTCTAACTGGGAGTTCAGGGCAAAGGAGGCTTCCAGGCCAGGCTGTGAGGGAGGAGCAGGCTCCTGGGCACGAAGAGGCTCTTCAGGGGCTGGGATTCCTCCTTTGTGGAATCATTCCCATGTTCAAACCGTCTGGATGAGCAGGAAAAGGCCCGGCAGCGCCACGAGCGGTGCGGGAATGGAGGGAGGCGATTGCCAACAGGAGTTGGCTTCACTTCAGTTCAACTTCAGTTCAACTTCAGTTCACTTCACTTCACTTCAGTTCACTCCCCCCTGGTCCCCATCAGCTCCCACATCCCGGAGCCAGAGGGTGGGAACCACAGCTCCCAATGTCCCATCCGAGCAAGGACAAGGTCAGAGCCAGGCAGAGCAGAACCCCTCAGGCTGGGACACGGCGCACCCAAGGGTGGGACCTCCCTGCTCCCCATAAAACCTATTAAACATTGATCTTTATAGGGAAGAGCTACCCCAACCCCCAGGAATACGGAGCCCATAAACCAGGCACCAACCCCAGCACAGGGGCAGCTGAAGCAGCCCCGTGTTTGCCTGCTCCTGCCTTTGAATCCCTGGCGTTTGGGCCCTCGTTCCGTGCTCCTCCCCATCCCGGTACCCACCGGAGTGTGTCCGGAGGTGCCCGCTGAGCGCATCCCGCCTCCGACAGGCGTAGTTGCAGAAGGGACACTTGAAGGGCTTCTCTCCGGAGTGCAGCTTGATGTGGCGCAGGAGGTTTCCCTTCTGGGTGAAGGAGGCTCCGCACTGGTTGCAATGGAAGGGCCTTTCCCCTGTAAAACAGGAGCCAGGGGGTCAAATTCCTGCTGGGAAGCTTTGCCCATCCTCAGGGATCAGAAGCATCCCCAGCTCCAGCAGCACAGAGGGAAAGCCTGAGGTTAAGGGCACTGGAGCAGCATGGTCTGGTGTGAAGCACCCCTGCCCACAGCAGGGGGTCAGATCTGGGTGAGCCCAAGTTCCTTCCCAACCCATTCTCTGGGTCTATGATGGGACCCCCAAGCTGCGAGGCTCAGACCTGTTGCTGGTGGTTGGATGGTGAGGAGGAAACCCCGTCTACACACACTTCCACGGACCTTCCCTCATCACCCCCACCTCATCCATGACACCCTCATCTCCTGTGGTGCCACCAACCATCACCCAGGTAACCACCAACTATCACCCAGGTACCACCAGCATCCCCAAGGTACCACCAGCTTCCCCCAGGTACCACCAGCATCCCCCAGGTACCATCATCATCATCCAGGTACCACCAGCATCCCCCAGGTACCATCATCATCATCCAGGTACCACCAGCATCACCCAGGTACCATCATCATCATCCAGGTACCACCAGCATCACCCAGGTACCATCATCATCATCCAGGTACCACCAGCATCATCCAGGTACCACCAGCATCCCCAAGGAACCATCAGCATCCCCCAGCACCCCTGAGCCCCGCTCACCCGTGTGGCTGCGCTTGTGCACCATGAGCACGTTGGGGCCGATGCAGACCATGCCGCAGATGTCGCACTTCAACTTGCCATTGGGCAAGCGGATGCCACCGGGGGAATGGGGCTCCTGGCCGGGGCCGTCGCAGTAGCCCAAGGGCTCCGAGAGGGAATCCTCCACGATGACGCTGTCGTCCTTGTCCAGCATGCGCTCGTCCGGGGCCAGCAGGCGGCTGCCCTCCTCGTCGCTGTACATCTCCACCTTGATGGAGCTGGCTGCGGGGAGGCACAAGGGGTGGGATGTGAGGAAGGAGCTGGGAGCGGGGGCCCGAGGGGCCGGACCCGTGCAGATGAAGCCCTCGGTGCCGTGGGGGTGGCCTTGAGCACTGAGCATCTTCTCCATCCTAAGGCTTAAGTCCTAAAGGGAACGCTGGGACGTGGGGAGGGATGCGGGCGCCAGGAACTGCTCACCCGGAGCACACCAGCTCAGGGACTGGCTGCACATCCCAGAGCACTGCTCCTGTGGGAAAAGCCCTGCATTTCCCTGGATTCAAAGGCACTCAGGCTTCAGGAGCAAAGACTCTGAACTGCCACTCTCTGGAGCAGGAAAGGCTCCAAGAGCCTCACGCAGGTCTCTGTGATCCCATCTCCGTTGCTCCCAGGAACCAAAGGGAAGGGATGGGAGCCTCTGGGCACCAGGAATCCCAAGAAAGCTCCTGTGGGATGAGGGACGTGGATGCAGGGACCACGGGAAGGTCCAGCCAAGGGCAATGAGAAGGCAGAGGTGGGAGGAGAGGGCTTCCTATGGAGGGAGAAGTGGTGCTGGGACCCCCTCAGCCTTTAAATGATCCAAGTGGGAAGCTTCCTCCTTGAAGCCATTGCCAGGGAATCCCTTGGGATGCTCCCGGGATGGGGAGAGCGGCTCCTCCTGGTTCGTGCAGGCTGGAGGAGGATGATGCTGGAGTCGAGTGGGATCCAGGGCACCCACATGGGGTATTTACAGTCTCTTTCAAGCTCAGATCCTTGTTTCTCCCTTTGGAAGCAGGAGGCTCTTCCCGATCCCTTCGGAGAACGGTGGCCACTGGAGGAACTGAACTTCACATCCCAAAGGAGCAGCTTCCAGCCCTGCTGGGGCTCGATTCCCGGGGCTCTTCCGGCTCTTTGTGAGAGCTCCAACACTCACCCGCATCCCGGGATACACTGGGAAACCCCGGCAACATCCCGGCCTTTAGAAGCTTGGGGGGGGGGGGCTGAACAAGCTCTTCCCATCGGCTGCGATGGGAATGCTGCTTCCCGGGAGGCTTCGGGTCACTTACTGGGCATGGAGGAGGTGGGAACACTGCAGAGGGGCTCCCAGGGCTGGGAATACCGAGAGGAAAGCTCCTCTGCCTCCAATGGAGCAGGGGGGATTAGCGAGGAGCAGCAGCATGGAAGTGATTCACCCGCGCCTGCGGGGGCTCCATTGCCGGGTGAAGAGCCCAGGAATTCCCTGGCTCCGGGCCTGCCCTTCCTGCATCCCGGGCCACACAAATGCCTTCCCTAGGAGGCTCCCAGCAACGGGAACCCGGCCCTGGCACCCAGCGCCTGTTTGCTGAGCCCTTGGCCAAAGCCAGTGCCGGAGGCTGAAGCATTCCTGCGGGTGGGAGCCGGATGGGACCGGAGCCGCCACGCTCCCGTGGGAGCATCCAGCGGGAAGCTCCTCGCTCAATGGGGTGATGTTCCCTGGATTGGGGGGGGGGGGGGGGGGGGGGGTCTCTTCTCCCATTCCCTTGGGGATGCTTTATCCCAGGGTACAGAGGGAGGCCAAGCCCCGCTGTGCGACCCCACTGCCTGCACCCGGGTTACACAAGGCAGGGCACGGCACCAGCCGGGAAGTCAAATCCCATCGGGGGCGAGAGCATCCCCAGCACCCCGGTGCTGCAGGGCACGGGGGGGCATCGTCGTCCCAGGCCATGGATTCCAGCTTCCAGCAAGCAGAGAGCTCAGCTCCCGAGTGCTTTGAGAGGGCAAGGAGAGAGCAAAGAGCGAGGAGCACAAGGGGGGAAAGAAGGGGGCTGGCTCGTGATGCGCTCGCTTCCGAAAGGGAATGGCTGGGGCTCTTTCATCCCAGCTCCAACGCTACGGAAAAGCCTCGTGCTCAGAGGAAGCCACAGCAGGGCTGGTGCCTGCGTCAACCCACCCCAGCCCTGGTGCCACTGATGCCCGTGGACACGCAGCATCTCGAGGCTCAGGCCCACAGGGAACGGCCCCGATTCCTCAGCATCCCCATGCCAAGGGGTTTGTCCCGGTGGGAAGTCCGTGGTACGTGGGCTGGGGCAGTGCTGGGACTCACCACTGAGCGAGCGGCTCGGGGACGAGTGCTGGCTGTTGGGGGTGCTCACGGGGGGCCCCACGATGGCTGAGCTGAATTCCTTCTCCAGGGAGGAATCCCCACTGCCTTTGGGAAGAGGGAGACAGCAGTGAGTGAGGCCCCAGATGTTCCTTTGGGATGGGGCTGCTGGAACCCACGTTTGCCAGGGGCATCCTGACCCCATGCTCTGCCCAAGTCCCTTTGCCTATAACGAAGTGAGAATTCCTAAGCAGATCCTTATGGCTCCGGGAAGCCAAATCCACCCCATCGAGCCCTCAGCGCCCCACAGCAGCATCTTCTGAATGGGACCCCAGTGCCCCATAGCTCTATTGGGAAGAGGTTTCCTCTCCTCTTGGGATCACATTGGGATCGATGGGGACCCTTCCCACGCTCGAGCTCAGGGACACGCGACGGGGCTCATGGAGGGAGAGCCCCATATGGGGCTGGTGGGGGGGGAACCTTGAGCCCCAACCCCAAAGCGCTGCTGCATGGGGTGGGAGTGCCCCACGTGGTGTTCACCTCCATGGGCATCCCCTCTGCTCCCTGCAGGCCCCTATAGCTCAGCCGGGAGCACAGGGAGTTACAGCTCCCCCTGCCCAGCGCATCCCCTGCTCATCTTCCCGGCTCCAAGTCATTCCAGGCTCCCCCCCTTGTACCTTGCTGCAGATAGCCCGGAGCGTTCTCGCAGCCAACTCCTTGGAAACAGCGCTGGAGCCCCGGCTGCGGGTGCAGGTCCGCGCCGCTGGCAGGGCGCACGCAGCCGCTCACCTTCCAGGAAGAGCAGATTCCTGGAAGCCAGGGGAAAACGACCGTCATTTTCCAGGCGGCGGCACGGGCTGAGCGGGAACGCCGCCGGGAAGGAGCGGGAACGCCGCCGGGAAGGAGCGGGAATGCCGCCGGGAAGGAGCGGGAACGCCGCCGGGAAGGAGCGGGAACGCCGCCGGGAAGGAGCGGGAATGCCGCCGGGAAGGAGCGGGAACGCCGCCGGGAAGGATGCTGCGCGCCGGGGATGCTGCGGCCGCTCCCCCGTTAAGGATGCTGCGCGCAGGGAGAGGGTAGCAGGGCTGCTGTGCCCACCACCAGGGAATGTCGGTGGGGAAAGGGGGATTGGGTGCGTGCAGGGAGAAGCTCAACAGCCTGGAATGCCAGCGGGAATAAGGGGATGTCGTGTGTGGATGTGTGGAGGGAGAGGAGCAGCATCCCAGTGTCACCCCACTCACTGGGATCCGATCCTTTGGCAGTGGGATGGGGACAGTGGGGTAAAAGCAGCTCACACTGAGCCCCCCCTAACACCCCCAGATACGGGGACGTGTATCCGTATGGAATACCACACACACAGGGACGGACCTCAGTGGCAGCTCCCACCCCACAGCAGGACCAAACCTGGACCCAGGGCTCACTGACAACCCCCAGCGATGCTGAGGGCAGGAAGAACATGATCCACATCAAACCTGGACCCAGGGCTCACTGACAACCCCCAGCGATGCTGAGGGCAGGAAGAACATGATCCACATCCCGTTCCCAGCTCCTGCCCATTCCCAGGTGGCGGAGAACAGAGCCTCAGGAAGGAGGAAAACCAAGTTCATTTCTCCTTGATCCCTTTCTGCTGCCCTGTTTTCAGCTCCTTTGCGAGCCAGCTTCATCCTCAGATCCCAAAGGAGCCCTCTCATCCCAAAGGAGCCCTCTCATCCCAAAGAAGCCTCCTTATCCCGAAGGAGCCCCAATCCCAGCACCAAGAGCTGATCCTTCCCGAAACAGGGAAGAGCTCCCCTGCTCCCCACAGACCTCAGGCAGGATCCCCTCAGACAGGATCGGGATCAGACACCGGGATACCCCGGGAAGGTGGGAGCTGAAGCCCATCCCAGTGCTGGGAGCCCCCAGTTTCCCCCCCCCCCTTCACACTGGAGATCCCAGGAAACACTGGGTCACGATTCCTGTGTTCCACAATTCCCACAGGGAAATCCAGCTCTAGCCCAGTTATCTGAGGAGCTCTGCTCTTTGCATCCTCAGGGCCCCATTGCCAGGCTCCAATCCTTACCCTATGGATGAGCTGATCCCTGTTTTCCTGCCCCGATCCCGGGCAGCACCAGGCTCCACTCCCCACGTTCCAAAAGGAAAACCCGCAACGCCGCTCTTCCCTCTGCCACCCTTTAACCATTCCCTTCCCTCCCTGGAAAGCTGGATCCCAAAAGGGATTCAGGCTCTTGTGCTCCAGGAAGCTGGGAGCAGCCACGTGGAGCAGGATCAGGCACCTCGGGATCCTCTGGGATCAGAGGGGATCCTTGGGGGAAGGAGGAACTTTACCAGGGTGGGCAGCATGTCCTGGGATTCCCAGGCCGCCTGCGCTCATCCCATTGGATCCAATGCACTTCCTCCCTGCTGAGCTGGGTTCACTCTAATCCCACTCTTATCCCAAGCAAAGGTGTTTCCCATCCCAGAGATAAGAACAAATCCCACCAAAGCGCCCGGGCCGGGTTCCTGCAGGACACCAGATAAGCTTCATCCCTATCAGTGTCCCAGCGTTCCCTACGGACACCGGGGCTGTGATCCCAGCACAGCTGATCCCAGCAGGCTGGTATACAGGGAAGCTCCATCCATGCATCCATCTCCTGCTCTTCCAAGATCCAGGGGTGAACTCCCAACTACCTCCAGGGCAACGACACAAGGGGGAGCAGCTTCCAGGGGGATAAGAAACCTGGAAAGGGGCTTTGGATACGGGATGGAGGGACAGGACAAAGGGAATGCCAGAGGGGAGACTGGGATGGGATGGGAGGAGGAATCCTCCCCGTGAGGGTGGTGGGACATGGAATGGCTTCAATGGAGAAGGTCTGGATGCTCCATCCCTGTTCGAGGGAGCAACCTGGTCCAGCGGATGGCTTAATCCCAATGGATGAGCCTGAGCATCCCAAATCCATCAGGATCCCAAAGGAGCCAACGCAACACCTACCAGAGATGTAGGATCGCCCGTTACAGTCTTCGATATCCATCTTGAAGGGATTTGGCTGGAATGGAAAGCAGAGCACAGTCATCTCCCGCCCTCTGGGACACATGCAATCACCCCAGGGAAGGGGAATGTGCCCAGCTCCCCCAGGATAAGGCTTTCATTCGGCTTCAATCCCAAACCAGCCCCGTTTTCCAAGCAGGAATGGGGCTCAAGCAGCACTTGAGGGGTTGGAAATGCAGGAGAACACCTAAAGCCAGTGAGGATTTGTGTCCTTGGGAAGGGAAAACCAACGGGATCCGGAGCCACAAGAGATGGAGACACCGGGATACAGACACCGGGATACTGAGCCCTCGACCCGCTCCCGATCCACAACTAAAAGGTGCCTCATATCCCGGGCACGGAGGGAATCCAACCAGGATTCAGGAGCCGCATCCTGGAACACCGGCACCGTTCCCTTCCCTTCCCTGCCATCAGAAGGAAAGGGAGCATTCCAGAGTTCCCTTTCCCACTGTTAACTTCATGGGATGAAGTAACTGAGGCTGGAACCAAAGCAGCCCCTCACTGATCCCTACGGAGCAGAGGCCTGGCAGACCCGGAGCAGGGCCAAACCCCCACACTCCAGGAGCACATCCCTGTCTCCGGCCTTTCTTCCCGACTTTCCGGAGCAATCATCCCATTGGGAATGCGGCGCTGGAAGTAGAGCAGAGGGAGTGCCTGAAATGAGGCCTTTTCCCTATGGAAAAGAAATCAAAGGCCTCAGAATTAGCCCAGATGAAGAAAGCTCCATCCCGGTATCCCGGTGGGATGCGCCTTGGGAATGTCCTTTGAGCAGCGAGAGGCTGCAGCCGTGGCCAGGAACATCCCAGAAATGGGAATTCTCCCTGCTCCCGAGCTTCTGCCCCTCTGCCCCGAGGTCTGGATCCGGTTGGAAGCAGAGTGGGATGAGCCGGAGCTCGGGATGGGCGCTCGGAGCCGTCCGCAGGGGAAGGATTAGTCAGGGCTGGAAAGTGGCTTCATCCCAGTTCCAGGCTTTCCCAACAGGAGGAGGCTTTTTCCACCCCTGAGGAATGAAGCGGCTGCTCTGAACGCCGGGAATGCTGCAGGAGCCAGTGCGGGGACCTTCCAAAGGGATGGTGATGGGATGTGACGCCGCGGCCGAGGAGGGACCATTCCGAGCCAAGCAGTGGGAATATTCCCAGAGAAATTCCCAGCTCCCAGACAGCCAAACCCAAGCGCAGGGTGCCCCGGTTATCCACGGGATGCCATATCCCACAGAACAGCCCCATTCCCCTGGGAATGTGCTCCGGTTATCCACGGAATGCCATATCCCACAGAACAGCCCCATTCCCCTGGGAATGTGCTCCGGTTATCCACGGGATGCCATATCCCACAGAACAGCCCCATTCCCCTGGGAATGTGCTCCGGTTATCCACGGGATCCCATATCCCACAGAACAGCCCCATTCCCCTGGGAATGTGCTCCGGTTATCCACGGGATGCCATATCCCACAGAACAGCCCCATTCCCCTGGGAATGTGCTCCGGTTATCCACGGGATGCCATATCCCACAGAACAGCCCCATTCCCCTGGGAAGTGGGCAAATCCGGCTGCAATTCCCGACCTTCCTACAAAGGGAAAGGGGGCTGAGAGAGGGAACCCCCCTGAGGGTGCGGATCAGGCGGCAAAGCGGGAATGGGATTCCTCAGCCCCATTCACTGCTCCCGGCTGGAACAGCGCTGGATCCATGGATACCCCCGGCTTTGGAAGGCAGCTGCTGGAAACGGCAGGGATTTGGATCCCAAAGCAATGCAGGGACCGTTTCCTGCGGGGCTTTGCCCCGTTGTGTCCGTAGGAAGGAAGCTCCCGCTCCTGCCCGTTCCGGGATGGACGGATCCCGGCAGAGACGCGCTGGATCCTCGACGCTCCCGAGCTCTGCAATGGATCCTCCTGGGGCTCAGCCCCGATCCCGCGGTCCCCATCGGGAGCAGCGCCCGATCCCGAGCTCCCTCGAGTCCGTGGGAGCAGAAGCCGGGATGAATCCCGGCCGCGGGACGCACCCAGGGTCCGGATGCAGCGGGAACGAGCTCACGGGGCAGCCTCTTCCCCTCGCGCCCCCCTCATCCCGTGGGGACGAGATCCCGCACGGAGCAACCGGGAGCAAGGACCCGGCTCCAGCCCCCAGGGCACCGGGACCGCATCCAGGAGCATCCAGCGCCGGGAAAACCCCTCCCGGAGCGGGAAGCACCGGGAAGCGGCTCCCCCCGTTCCCAAGGGGCCATTCCCTGCCCCCCCCATCCCAACCCCGTACCCCGGGGGGGGGGCAGGACACGACCCAACCCCATCCCCGAATTCCATTGGGATCCCGCTCCCCCCCCATGTCCCGGAGCCCCCCCATGGTTGAGCCCATTCATCCCAACGGGGGGGGGGGGGAAGTTTAAATCCCCCCCCCCCAAACGGGGGCAGATTTGGGCCCCCCCCCCCCAATGGACGCCCCCAACCCGGAGCTGCCCCCCCCCAACCCCCCCGCCCCCCTCCCGTTGCCGCCCCCCCCCGCCCCCGCTCTCACCGGCGGGTGGGGGCAGGGCCCCCCCGGTTCCGCCCGGGCCGCGGGGGGGGGTCACGGGCGCGGCGGCGGCGGCGGCTCCACCTGAGCAGGGCCCGGGCCCCCCCCCGCGCCCGCCCGCCCGCCCGCCCCGAGCCACTTCCGGCCCCCGCCGCAGCCAGGCCGCGCAGCCGAGCGCCGATGCTGTCGAGCCGCCGCCGGGAGGGGGGCGACGCGGCCGCCATGGGCTAACACGGGGGGGGGGGGGAGAGCAGTCGAGCGCCGATGAATCGAGCGGTGAACAGGGGAGGGCAGAGGAGCGCCGAGTGGGGAGGGGGGGAGCGGGGAGAGCCGAGGGCATCGATGGGCCCCGCGGGTTGGAGCGGTAATCGATAGCCGATAACGGAGAGGCGATAACCGATACGGCGGGGACGGGCTCACGGCACAACGAGAGCCCCCCAAGGGGAGGCTGCAGGGTTCTATAGGTCCGGGGGGGTCCCATAGGGCCATGGGGTTGTATGGGGAAAGGGAGCTGTACAGGCACAGGAGGTCCTGTAAGGTCAGGGGGGTTATGTAAGGTCAGGGGGGTTATGCCGGGTCACAGGGTTCCATGGGGTTACAGGTCCCACAGGGTCAGGGGGATACATGGGATCACCGGGGTCCCATAGGGTCAGTGTTATATAGGGTCAGGGTTACATAGGGTCAGAGAGCCCCGTAAGGTCAGAGAGTCCCATAGGGTCAGGGGTCCCACAGGATGAGTGTCCCACAGCACCAGTGGCTTACACAGGATCCCAGTGAGACCCAGGTCACCTGGCGACAAAAAGGTCCCTCTGCTGTGGGACCACTGGGCTGGGGGGGGTCTCCCAGACCCACCCCCTGTATCCCACCCCATCCATCCCATCCCACCCCCTGTATCCCACCCCATCCATCCCATCCCATCCCATCCCACCCCCTGTATCCCATCTCATCACATCCCACCCCATCCATCCCATCCCATCTGCTCCCATCCCACCATCCATCCCATCCCACCCCCTGTATCCCACCCCATCCATCCCACCCCATCTGTTCCCATCCCACCCCATCCATCCCATCCCATCCTGTCCCCGCTCTGCCCCCGGAACCTCCGAGTCCATAAAAGCTTCACAATCTTTATGGAGCCACTTTCACACGTCGGGGGCCATAAACGGCCGCGACCTTCGCTCCGCGGCACGGGGCAGGAGGGGAGGGGGGGGGAGCCGCAGCGGCTCAGCGGGTGACGGTGACCCGGACGCGGTGCCAGGCGTTGCTGAGGACCCCGCGCAGGTTCCAGATGGGCGCCACGGTGTCGGGCTGGACGTTGTAGCTCCCGTCCACGGCCTTGCACACGATCTCCAGGTCCGCGCCCGCCGCCACCGGCGCCCGCAGCTCCCAAAGCCTCCAAGCCCAGGCGCGACCCAGCTCTTGGCGCTCGCCCTCCAAGTTCGCCACGCGCCAGCTGCGGCCCCCGTCCAGGGACACGTCCACCCGCACCACGTCGCGCCCGCCGCCGCTCCACGCGTACCCCTTCACCGTCAGCTCCCCCGGCGGCACGGCCGCGCCGGGGCGCGGGTGGGTGATGGCCGATTGCACCGGCAGCTCCTGGATGGCGGGCGCCGCGCTGTAATCCACCGAGTCCCAGTCCACGCAGGGCGAGAAGCCCTTGTAGTCGTTCTGCTGCCAGTGGCTGGGGCTCTCGGCCGCGCTCACCGCCACCCGCGCCAACCACTTGACGCTGCGGGCGCCCACCACGCCGGGCACCACGACGCGCACGGGGAAGCCGTGGTCGCGGGGCAGCTCCTCGCCGTTCATCTCGTAGGCGAGCAGGACGTCGGCGCCGGTGCTGATGGCGCGGCCGTAGGGGATGGAGGCGCCGTAGGGAGCCCCGCCGGGGCCGGCGTCGAGCCCCTCGAAGCACACGTGCCACTCGCCGGCACGCTCCTCGCCGAAGCCGGCCTGGAGCAGCACGTCCCGGAGCCGCGCTCCCCCCCAGCGCGCGGTGCCGATGGCGCCGATGTCCCAGGGCAGGCCCTGGACGGGGCGCACGCGGCTCATCTCGGAGCGCCGGTTCCCGGCGCACTGCAGCGTCGCCGTCACCTCGTGCTTGGGGAAGCGGCTCCGCAGCTCCGACAGCGACAGCGCCAGGACCCGGCCCTCCGGGCCCTCCACGCGCAGCCGGTACGAGGCCGGGTCCACCGCCGGCACCGGGAGGTGGTTCCGGGTGAAGAAGAGCTCGTTGGGGGTCAGGAAGCGCTCGGTCAGCAGCTCCGCGGGGGTCTCGGCGTTGAACGGCTTCCGGCTGCTGATGCGCAGCCCCGGGTGCCGAGGCGGGTCCCCGGCGAACGGGTCCTGAGCGGCGGCGGGGTCCGGGGGGGGCTCGTCGGGGCTGAGCTCCCCCACCTTGAACTCCCGCAGCAGCTCCCGGACGTGGGGCTCGTTGTGGACGGCGTAAAGGGCCCAGAAGGGCTCCAGGGCGCCCCCGGCCGCCAGCAGCAGCTTCTCGGCGCCGCCGGGGTGAAGCTCCACGAAGTCGGTGACATCGAAGACGTCGGTGCCGTGCGTGACCCAGACGCGGTCCTGGGGGGAGCGGTGCCTCCCCACCTCCTCCCGTGTGTACCGGGGGTACCGGCGGCTCGGGGGCGCCTGCGCCGCCTGCGCGACCTGCGGGACCCCATCAGTGCCCGGGGCCGCCCCCGTTCCGCCGGTGCGCGCCCCCCCCCCCCACCCCGGTGCCCCCTCGCTACTCACCCTCCGCCGTCGCTCCCCATAGGCCAGCGCAGCTCCGAGGCCCAGCAGCGCCGCCAGCACCGTAGCCGCCCCCCGCCGGCCCCCCGCGGCCGGGTTACCGGGGGTGAAGCGGGAGCAGCCGCGGCGGGGCAGCGGGAGCCTGCGGGAGGAACGGGGCTAGGACCGGCAACGGGGAAAGGGGGCACCGAGGAGAAAGGGGGGGGTCCCGACGGGGCGGGTCCTACCTGTGCCCGGCGGCGATAGCGGCAGCGCGGAGCAGCAGCATCGCAGCGGGACCTGCACGGGAGACAGCGGCTGGGGCGGGCACCGGGCATCGCTCGACCGGGAACCGGCCCCGAGGGGAGCGGGCAGCGGGGACCCCCGCCGGGCATCCCTCCCTCCTCCCGCCCCTTCGCTCCGGTGCCCCCCCGGGTCCCGTCCCGGACCCGCCGCGAACCTGCGTAGCAATTTCAGTTGCGCGACGTCCTGCGCAGCGCTGCCCCTTTAAGAGACGAGAGGTGGGCGTGGCCTCCGGTGAAGCCACGCCCCTTAGGGTGAGGTGGGCGTAGCCAAGCAGCTCCGGGGGTCCCACTGGTGTGGGGGGGGGCGCGCTTAAAAGGGCAACAGCAGCGCGGCTTAAAGGGGCAACGCACTTAAAGGGGCCGCGGCACCTCCCGGTGGGCAGCGGCGGTCGGTGCCGTTGCTGACCGGAGCCGCCGCCCCGCTGGGCTCCGCGATAAGCGTTATCGGGACAGGACCGGCGACGGCAGGCGGCGGAGCCCCGCATCCCGCCCTGGGCACACACAGGCGGGGTGGGTCGAGCCCCGTTGGCTCCCGTGGGCTGGGTTTTACGTCCATGAACGGCGTGGGGAAAGGAGGGGCCGAGCTCGGGTCTCAAGGTTGTTATTGAACCGCGATGGAGGCGCTCCCTCGAAGCCAAAATCATTATAATTATAATAAGAATGATCAGGAAAGGGGATGGGGGGGGGGGAAGCTGCAGCGTGACCCCAAACCAGGACACAGTGGGGGAAGAAAGAGGGTGCAAAAATAGGGACCCCTGCAATAGGGGGCTTCATACGAGACGGGTCCCTCTGCCCCACAGCCATGGGTAGGGTGGGCCCCCCCATGCCGTGTGCAGCCTGAGCCCACGGGGAGAGCAGGAGCTGGCCCCTGGGGTGAGCGCCATTGGGGTGTCCCCCATTGGGGTGTCTCAATGGGGCCCTTTTGGCTGCTGGGACCTGGGAGCATCCCAATGCTCCGCAGAGTTCCTGCAGCTGGGAATGCTCCAGGAGAAGCCAAACCCTGGGGGCTCCGAGTGTGTGGGGGGGGGGGTGTCCCAAAGTGAACCCAAACCCCACCAAGGTGCATCTGAAGGGGACGTTTCCGTGACTAAAGTGCAAACCGGAGACGCCGGCACCGGCTGGGGAGGAACCGTGGGGAGAGCCGGGGCGGGGGGGGGGGCTCCTCATGGCCCCATCACCGCGGCGTTCCCATCCTCCGGCCAGAGCCGGGAATCAAGGCCACCCATAGGAGGAAGCGAGGGCGCTGCAGCTTCCCTCCCTCCACATCGAGGCAAAGAGGAGGAAGAGGAAAAAGGGATGGGGGGGGGGGGGGAGGAGAATAATAAAAATAAGGAAAATCCAACAGAAATCCATGAAAGACCCCATGGAAATTCCCGCATTCCCGCAGCTGGGAAGCTCCAGAAGGAGGGAGCCGGCGGGAGCTCGGGTCGCTGCGGGCACCTATGATACAAAGTGAGGAAGAGTCTGGATTCCCATCCCAAGTCCGATCCGCAGCCGACGGAGCTCCCGGGAGCAGCGGCAGTGGAAGCAGCTCAAAGTGTGGTGAGGGGCACGGTGGGGCCTGGTGGTGGTGGTGGGGGCGCCGGGGGGGGGCGTGGATGGAGAGTGGGGGTCCCGGCTCGGCCTCAGTTGCTACAACACTGGCTCCTGTGCTGCTGGCTCTGCTCGTGCAGGTCCACGCCGCGGCCCCGGCCGCCGGCCCCGCTCGTGCTCTGGGGATCGCTCTTTGGCAGCTTCTTGGCTGGAAGGGGAAGGAGGAAGAGGAGGTGATGGCGCCTGGGAGGGGGTCCGGAGGCCACGGGGATGGGCTCCCATTGAGTGGCAAAGAGGGGGGGACACGCAGGGGATGCAGGGGTGGGCCCCGATGCATCAGAACCATGGAATGGGTTGGAAAACATCAAATGGGTTGGGTTGGAAATCATCAATGGGTTGGAAGTCATGGAATGGGTTGGAAGTCATGGAATGAGCTGAGCTGGAAATCATGGAATGGTTTGGGTCGGAAAACACAAAATGGCGTGGGTTGGAAATCATGGAATGGGTTCGGTTGGAAATCAGGGCATGCGTTGGGCTGGAAATCACGGAATGGGTTGGGTTGGAAGTCATGGAATGGGTTGGAAGTCATGGAATAGGCTGAGTTGGAAATCATGGAATTCGTTGGGTTGGAAGTGACCTTAAAGCTCATTCAGTTCCAACCCCTGCCATGGGCAGGGACACCTTCCACTAGAGCAGCTTGCTCCAAGCCCCTGTGCCCAACCCGGCCTTGAAGAGTGATGGGGAATCCAAACCTTCCCCATTCAACCCATTCCATGTCCCACCACCCTCACAGGGCAAAACTTCCTCCTCAGATCCCACCTCCATCTCCCCTCTGGCAGGTTAAAGCCATTCCCTTTGTCCTGCCCCTCCATCCTTCATCCAAAGACCCTCTCCTGGTTTCCTGCCCAGCTCAGCCTGTCTCTACAGCATCATCCCCACCTTCCCATCCCAACATCCCTGCATCCCTGCGGCTCCCCTCCGCTCACCGATGGCCAGGAAGAGGTCATTGACGTTCATCGCCGTCTTGGCCGACGTCTCCATGAACAAGAGGCTGTTGTCATCTGCGTACGCCTGAGCCTCCTGAAACGCACCCATGGGAGGCGTGAGGCTCCAGCAGCACCCAGTGGGGACGGGGCTGGGGACGGGTGGTGGCACCCAGCACCCCCTCACCTCGTACTCCACCATGCGCTTGCTGGCCAGGTCGGCTTTGTTGCCGGCCAGGGCGATGACGATGCTGGGGCTCGCCTGGCGCTGCAGCTCCTTCACCCATGTCTTGGCCCGCGCAAACGTTTCCTAGGAGCAGAGAGGGGACCCAGGGCTCATCCCGGGGGGAGGGACCCCCATTGAGGAAACAGCCCCCAGCACCCCCCCCCCAAAGCTCCCTGATGGGGGCCCTACCTGGTTGGTGATATCATAGACCACGATGGCGGCCTGGGCCCCCCGGTAGTACATGGGGGCCAGGCTGTGGTACCGCTCCTGCCCGGCTGTATCCCAGATCTCGAACTTGACCGTTGTGTCATCCAGGCAGACGGATTGTGTGAGGAATGCCGCTGTCCGGATGGGTAACGACGTCAGTGCCGTTATCCCAGGGCATCCCAAACCCCACCACGGCTCCCCCTGCATCACACTAGCAGAGCATCCCCTGCATCCCAAACCCAACCACAGCATCCCCTGCATCCCAAACCCAACCAGAGCATCCCCTGCATCCCAAACCCAACCACAGCTCCCCTGCATCCCAAACCCAACCAGAGCATCCCCTGCATCCCAAACCCAACCAGAGCATCCCCTGCATCCCAAACCCAACCAGAGCATCCCCTGCATCCCAAACCCAACCACAGCTCCCCTGCATCCCAAACCCAACCAGAGCATCCCCTGCATCCCAAACCCAACCAGAGCATCCCCTGCATCCTAAGCCCAACCAGAGCATCCCCAGCATCCCAACCTCAACCAGAGCTCCCCCTGCATCCCAAATCCAACCAGAGCATCCCCTGTATCCCAAATCCAACCAGAGCATCCCAAATCCAACCAGAGCATCCCCAGCACCCCAAACCCAACCAGAGCATCCCCTGCATCCTAAATCCAACCAGAGCATCCCCAGCACCCCAAACCCCACCAGAGCTGGGCGCAGGGGCTCAGGCTCCTAGGGAATGGGAGCCGGGACCAGGATCCCGACTCACCTCCAATGGTGCTCTCCTGGTACTCGTGGAACTGGCCCTTGACGAAGCGCAGCACCAGGCTGGATTTGCCCACGGCCGACTCCCCCAGCAGCACCAGTTTGAACTGACAGATCTTCCCGGCTTGGGACTGCCCGTTCGGCCTGGCGGCGCCTCGGCTGCTCATGGCCCCCGCTTCGCTGGGAATGCCGCGGGGTGTCCGTGCGGGAAGGGTCCGCTCGCTCCTCCTGCAAGGAGGGAAGAGCCGTCGGGACCTGGGATCTCTCCCCCCCCCCCCGCCCCGGCTCCTCCATTTCCAAAGGGGTCGAGCGGAGCGGATCCAGGAAGCCGGGATCCTCGCAGCGAGGAGGCTGGGAGTGAGTCAGCAGCGCTGCGGCGCTGCCGGGCACGGCGCTGGAGACCGGGAGCCAGGAGGAAAGGGATGGGAACAGCTCCCGGCTCTGCCCCGGCATTCCTCAGCGCTGGAATGGGGGGGGGGGCCGTTCCCCCCGTTTGTGCTCGGGCACTGTGAATGCTGCGGCTTCCCAAGGGAAGGAGGAGGAAGCAGATGGGGGGGGGTGTCCATTGGGAATGATTTCGCTCATAACATTCCAGTGGGAGCAGAGGTTTGGGAGCGCTCGATAAGGCCAGACCCAAGCGGGAAGTTGGAGGATGCCGGTTCCCCTTCCCCATCCGCCTCAAGGGGCTGCTCTAACCCGGCAGGAAACCCTCCCTGACCCCGGCACGCACAGCATGGAGCATCCCTGGATCCACCGGGAGCAGCGGGATCCCCCTCAGGCACAGCACAGGGAATGCCACTGCCCTGCTCCGGCAGGAATCCTGCCCGTCTGATCCATAAAGCATCGGGAATACACACGGATGAGGTTCGGGATCACCCCGGGCCAAGTGTTCCTCAGGGGCTGAGGGTTTCCCAGTGTTTTAAGGGCTCGGAGCAGATCCGGGATACAGGGAACAGCACCGGGAGCATCCCGGCTCCATCGCCCTCACAGCACATGGAGGGATCCAACCGGCAGCGCACCAGGAGCGGCTGCCCCGTCCCGGTGCCCATGGAGGGGCCAGCTCCGGAATCCGCTCTGGGAATGGATCCACCTCTCCAAGGCTGATCCCACTTCCTTCAGGGAAGGGGCTGGATCCTTCCTTTCCCTCCCAGGATGATTCTGGGAGCAGCCCCATCCACATCATCCCACCTCCACCGCTCGCTCCATGCGGGTTTCCAACACCAGATCCCATCCTCCCGGAATGGATCCCAGGCTATTCCTAAGGGACGAGCTGCCAGGCCTGGGATGGGAATGGTCGCTGGCCACTGGCACAGCCCCACAGCGCCTTTTCCAGCCCTCTGGAACCACACGGATCCAGACCCTCCCATCCACCCTTCGATGCATCCCACCGGGATTAAGGAAACTCCAACCGGGGCACCTCAGCCCCCGGGATCAGCAGCATTCCCGGGACGGCCCGCATGGATCATCCCATCCCAACGGGATCCCGGCGGCACCGGGTCACGGCGTCACCGCGTCCCCCCCCCCCCGCCCCGGCCAAGCGGCTTCCCCGTTGCCGCTATCACCGCTCCTATGCCCGGTACCGGGGGCGGCGGGGGCCGGAGCAAACCAGAGCCACGAAGCCCTCACCGTGGGGTTCAATGAAGGGACCCGGTTCCGGACCTCCCCCCCCGGTACCCCGGAATGGATCCTCCCGCTGCGGGGTGGGGGGGTGCGAACAGGTCCCGGTGCCGCGGCCCCCCCCAGCCCGGGACACGGAGCTCCCGTACCCCCCCCCCCCGGTCCCGGTGCCCCCCCCCCCGGTACCTCAGCGCCCGGCCCGGCCCTCCCGTCGCGGCCCCGGAGCGCACAAACAGCGGCTCCGCCAACCCCTCCTGCCGCGGGCGGGATGAAGGCGCGGTTCAGCCAATCAGATGCTCGCAGCGGGGTGGAGGACACGCCCCTACCGCTCGGCAGCACCAATGGGAAGGAAGGGGCAGCGCGTCATCGCCCCGCCCCGCGTAAGGAGACCAATGGGAGAGAAGGGGAGCGCGTCAGAGCGCCGCTCCGCGGAGGGCAGCCGATGGGAGAGGGAGACAGGGCGGATGGGCAGCGCGATGGCCAATGGGAGCGAGGAGAGCGGTTGGCCAATGGAAGGGAGGGATGGCGGTGAAGGAGGGCGAGCACGGGGTGAACGGCGGGGCGCGGAGCCAATGGGAAGAGGCGGCACCGCGCAGGTGGGCGGCACCAACAACAAATAAGGTGACCTCGGGGGCGGAGCGCCGCCACCGCACGGGCCAATGGGGACGCGGGAAGCCAGAGCAGGAGCGGAGCGCAGCCAACGCGAGGCCGGCGGCGCGATGACGATGCGGTGCTCGCAGCCAATCACAAGAGCGCTTCCCATGATTGACAGAAGAGGGCGAGCCGCGCCCTCTCCGGCCCCACCCACCCCACTCCAGCCAATAGGAGCGCGGCAGAAGGCGAGCGGGAGTGGCCAATTGAGGGGTGTGGATGGGGCGTGACCCTACCGCGGTGGGCGGGGCCGGGCGCTGCCACGCACCGCCCCATGGGGGGGGTTTCGGGCCCATGTAGGGGCGCGGGGGCACCCACAGCGCTATGGGGAGGGGGGGCACAGCCCATGATGGGGATGGGGGCGCTGACAGAGGGGTCCGGGGGGGTCCTATGGGTGCCCCCCCCCCACTGCACACAGAGCCTGACGTTAGCTACAAAACTGCAAAGTTACAAAAGTCACAAAGAAAAAGGGGGGAGGAGTGGGGGGGGACGACCCCAAACAGGGCCATGGGGGTGTGTGGAGGGGGGGACACAAACGCAACCCCCAGCCCCGGGGTGAGGAGGAGGAGGACGGGGATGAAGATGCCCCCCCCATACCCAATACTGGTTGCAGCTCCCCCCCCATTTTGTAAGTGCCACAAGTCCAGGTTGGGGGGGGCTCCCTTCACATGAAGACCCCCAGAGGGGGGAAGGGGCTCTGGCTGCATCCCAGCAATGCTCCATGGATGGCTCCTATGGCGAGGGGCAGCCCCGTACCACCCCCCCCCCCCCAATTCACCCCATGGTCCCACCCGGCGCGCACCACTCAGAGGCGCAGGTGGGGGACGGTGCGGGTGACATCGCGGAAGAAGGGGTGTCCCAGCGCCGCCTTGGCCGAGATGCGCTTGTTGGGGTCGTAGTGCAGCATTTGCTGGGGGGGGGACAGAGAAAGGGGGGGATTTAGGGGGGGGGTCCCTGTTGTATCCCCCCCCTTCAATGGGGACCCCCCGTACTCACCGCTAAGAGCTTGCGCCCCTCCTCCTCGAGGGGTGGCACCACCTTGGTGAAGTCCTGGCGGGCCCACTTGGGGAAGGTGGGTTTGTAGTCGGGCATGGCCGTGACCCCCGGCCACGCGGCCTCGTCCGGCGTGCCCAGCGTGCGGAAGATGCGGAAGAGCTGGTCGATCTCCGAGTCCCCCGGGAAGAGCGCGCGGCGGGTGATCTGCGCCCAGCGGCACCCAATGGGATCAACCCCGTCCCGCGGGATCCAATGGGATCAGCCCCACCCAACCCCATCCCGTGGGATCCAATGGGATCAGACCACTCCAACCCCATGGGGTCCAATGGGATCAGCCCCACCCAACCCCATCCCGTGGGATCCAATGGGATCAGACCACTCCAACCCCATGGGATCCAATGGGATCAGCCCCCCCCAACCCTGTCCCGTGGGATCCAATGGGATCAGCCCCCCCCAACCCCATCCCGTGGGATCCAATGGGATCAGCCCCCGCAACCCCGTCCTGTGGGATCCTATGGGATCAGCCCCCCCAACCCCGTCCTGTGGGATCCTATGGGATCACCCGTGTGAGTGCTCACACCGGCGCCTCGTGACACCCCCCCCCCCACCCCGTGCTGGGATCGTGGTGCAGGCAGCTGGGGGTCAATGGGGGATGCGGTTGGGACGCGTGATGGGCACCCCCCGGGAGCAGCTCACATGACAGCCATGAAGTGCCTTTGATCCCAGCTCCATTCAGGGACGGGATGGGATGGGATGGGTAGAACTCACCCCATAGATCCCAGGGGCACCCCTTGGACCCCAATGTCACCCACAAAGCCCCTTTGATCCCAGCTCCATCAGGGAGGCACTGGCGTCAACGGGATGGGAAGAAACCAACCCATAGACGCACCCCTTGGACCCCACTGTCACCCACAAAGCCCCTTTGATCCCAGACCCATCAAGGAGCCACTGGTGTAAATGGGATGGGATGGAAAAGACAGAACCCACCCCATGGATGCTGGGGGCACCCCTGGGACCCCAACATCACCCCCAAAGCCCCTCTGATCCCAGCCCCACACCGTGCGGTTCCACTGCAATGGGATGGGCAGAACCCACCCCATGGATGCTGGGGGCACCCAGCGGTGGGGGGCGTGGGGGGGTCCCATCCATCACCCACCATCTCGGCGAAGATGCAGCCCAGGCTCCAGATGTCCACCGCTGTGGAGTAGTACTTGCACCCCAGGAGGATCTCGGGCGCGCGGTACCAGAGGGTCACAACCTGCCGCAAGGGGACACATGATGGGCACCGGGTCCCCGCTGGCACCCCCAGGGCGACCCCCCCAGCGCCTACCTCATGGGTGTAGGTGCGCACGGGCACCCCGAAGGCGCGGGCCAGGCCGAAGTCGGCCAATTTGATGGCACCGTCGGTGTTGATGAGCAGGTTCTGGGGCTTGAGGTCGCGGTGCAGCACGCGGTGAGCGTGGCAGAAGGCCAGGCCCTGCAGCAGCTGGAACAGGTAACTCTATGGGGACGATGGGGGGGTCAATAGGGAGGTGGGGTGACCCCCCCTCGCCCCACATCGTGGTGACCCCCACACACACACACCTTGATGAGGGGCAGCGCGATGCCGCTGAGGGATGAGGAGTCCATGAACTTCTTGAGGTCCTGGTGCAGGAACTCGAAGACCAGGTAGAGCTTGTTCTCCGTGTGGATCACGTCCAGCAGCCTGGAGGCGGGGAATGGAGCAGGCGTGGGGTGCCCCATGGCCATGGGGGGGGCTCACACCCATAGATGTCCCCTCCATAGCCCCATGGGTGTCCCCCCAGCCCCATAGAGATCCCCTCCTTAGCCCTGCGGGTGTTCCCCCCCTGCCCCATGGTTGTCCTCCCACCCTCATGGGTGTCTCCCCCCTATCCCCATGGATGTCCCCCCATCACCATGGATGTCCCAACCCCCCATAGATGTCCTCTTCTCAGCCCCATGGACGCCCTCCCAGACCCATGCTCATCCCCCCCCATCTCCCCGCACCCCCGTGCCCTCCTCACAGCTTCCAACTGCACCCAAGCCAACCCCCATCACCCCCCCATCCCTTATGGGGTGCCCCCCATGGCTCACTTGACGATGTTGGGGTGATTGAGCTCCTTCAACAGTGAGATCTCCCGAATCGCGGTGCTGGGGACCCCCTCGGTCTCCCTGGGACGGGGAGGGGGGGGGCACAAAGCGGCTGAACCCCATCCCCATAGACCCCCCTGGACCCCCCCATCCCCATAGACCCCCCTGGACCCCCCATCCCCATAGACCCCTCATCCCCACAGACCCCCCTGAACCCCCCATCCCCACAGACCCCCTCATCCCCAGAGACCCCCCCATCCCCATAGACCCCCCATCCTCATAGATCCCCTGTCCCCATAGCCACCCCCATCCCCATAGACCCCTTATCCCCACAGACCCCCCTGAACCCCCCATCCCATAGACCCCCCATCCCCATAGCCACCCCCATCCCCACAGCCCCCCATCCCCATAGACCCCCCTCATCCCCATAAACCCCCCCATTCCCATAGACCCCCCATCCCCATAGCCACCCCATCCCCATAGACCCCCCTCATCCCCATAAACCCCCCCATTCCCATAGACCCCCCCACCCCATAGACCCCCATCCCCGTAGACCCCCCCTGTCCCCACAGCCCCCCCATCCCCATAGACCCCCCTCATCCCCCATAGACCCCCCCACCCCACAGACCCCCACTCACGTGTCCAACCGGATCTTCTTGAGCGCCACCACCTCCCCCGTCACCTTGTTCCGGGCCTTGTACACGACCCCGTACGTGCCCTCCCCGATCTTCTCCACCTTCTGGAAGTTCTCCATGGGGGGGGCACCTCTGGGGCCCTATGGGGTCCCTATGGGGTCCTATGGGGGCCCTATGGGGCCTACGGGGTCCTCAGACGGGGGGGGGTCCCTATGGAACGATCGCAGCCGCCGCTTCCCCCCCCCCCGGCCACGGAACAATGTTTCGGCGGGTCCCGCTCCCGGCCCCGCCCCGCGCGCACGCTTCCCGCCTTCCGCCGGCCGCGCTCCCATTGGCCCGGCTCTCCGTGACGTCAGGGAGGCGCGGGAGAATTGTTAAAGGGGCAATTGAGGTCCCATAGAGGAGCCTTGGTCCTGCGATGGGAACGGGACCCACCAATGGGGGGGGGGGTGTAACGGGTACCGGATGGGGGGTCCGGCATCGCTATGGGGGAAAAAGGGGGGTTGAGGGCTTTAAGGGTCCCACATAAAGGGGGGGAGCACCGGGATCTGAGCCCCCCCAAAGCGGGAATAATGGGGACTGTGGGTGCTGGGGGGTCCCCACTGTGTGTCCAAGCCAGACCCATGGGCATGGGGCCACCATGAGGGTGCTGGGGATGGGGGGGGAGCACCCCCTATCCTCACCCCATTAGCAGGGGGTGCCTCTGTGTCCCTAAAGCACCCCACGGCCCCCCGAACCCCCCCCGGGCACAGCCGGAGCGTGTGACCGGGGCTGACCACGCGTGCTCGCACGTGTCCCCCACGTAACACAAGGTGGGGGGAGCTCCCTGGGGTGCCCCCCCCCTTTTTGGGGTGGGATTTATGCAAACGAGAGCCCCTTCATAACCCCCGGCCCCGCTGCTGAGCCCCGGCGGTGCCCAACGAGGGGGGACGCTAGGACCATGCGGGTGCTCGGGGCGGCCGCGGTGCTGGGGACCCTCCTGGTCCTGGCTGTGGCTCAGAGGAGTAAGTGGGGTTCAATGGGGGGGGTCATTGATGGGGGGGGGGTAACAGGACGGAGGGGTGCACCCCCAGCCTGGCAATGCAGCCATCAGGATGGTCCTGGCCGGGGGATGGAGCTCACAGCATCCAAGCACCCCGGGGTTGGGAGTGGGAGCAGGATTAGACCCCGCTGATCCTTTTGGGGGCCATGGGGGGGGGGGGGCATTGTGGGGTCCCCGATCCTCTGCAGGACGTGGGGGACCCTACAGTGCTTTGGGAAGAGGGTTTGGGGGTCCCCATCGCTATTGGGGGGGGGGCACCTCCGTGCTCGCTGTCCCCGTCCATCAATGACTGTGGGGCACGGGGGGGCTCAGCTCCCCCCAGCCCGCGGCGCCGGCTCAGCTGAGAGTCACATGAAGAGGCTTTGGGCAGCGCTCGGTGCCATGTGATGGGCTTTGCCCCACTCGTGGCCCATCACGAGGTGCAAGGGGGGGGTCCCTGTGGGCAGGAATGGGGGGGTCCCAATGGTGGATGGGGGGGGGGGCACAAACGGGGCTGTCCTCACCCTTGTCCCCGCAGGAGCCGGTGGCCGGAGCCGGCCCTGGAGCGGGCGCCCGGCGCCGTTCCGGAGCTGGGACTCGCTGCGGTACCGGCCCTGGCAGGAGGGAGCCCCGCGGCAGCCGGGCTGCTGGAGAGGTGGGTACCGGGGTACCGGGGTACCGGGGACGGCGACGGAGCCGGGCTGGGCCCGGTGCTGAGCCTGAGCCCCGCTCCCTGTGCCGGTCCCTGGCAGGCGGCGACGTCGCCTTCGACATCAGCAACGATGCTCCCACCATGGCGGGCGCTGAGGCCACCTTCTCCATCGCCCTGCGCCTGCCCAGCACCCAGGGAGCTGCGGCCCGACGGCAGCGTGGTCTGGAGCCAGAACTGCACCGTCAACGGTCGGCACCCAGCAGAGGCCACAGGGCACCCCCAGACACCCCAAAACACCCCTGAAACACCCCAAAAACACCCCCAAACACCCCAAAACCCTCCCAAAACACCCCCAAAACACCACAAACCCTCCTCAAAACCCTCCCAAAACACCCCCAAAACCCTCCCCAAACCCTCCAAAAACACCCCAAAACACCCCCAAAACCCTCCCCAAACCCTCCCAAAACACCCCGAAGCAGCCCCAAAACACCCCAAAACCATCCCCAAACCCTCCCAAAACACCCCTGAAAAACCCCCAAAACTCCCCCAAACCCTCCTAAACCTTTCCAACCCCCTCCCATCTCCCCTAAACCCACCAAAACCCTCCCAAACCACCCCAAAACCTTCCACCCCCCCCATAACCCTCCCCTCTGCTCCCGCAGGCACCCGCGTGGCCCGCGGGGACCCGGTGTTCCCGGACCCCCCCGATGAAGCCAACGGCGTCTTCCCCGACGGGCGCCCGTTCCCCGCAGGCGGCAAGCGCGGGAGATTCGTCTACGTGTGGTGGACGTGGGGTGAGACCCCCAACCACCGCCCCCCAGCACCCATTGAGGGGGACCTGAGGCTCAATCCTGACCCCCCCCATCCCATCGCATCCCATCCCATCCCATAGGGCGCTACTGGCAGGTTGTGGATGGAGCCACGTCCCAGCTGACGGTGGGCACGGCCGGGGTGCCCCTGGGCTCCTACACCATGGAGGTCGTTGTCTACCACTACCGTGGCCGCCAGAAGTTCATCCCCATCGGCCGTGCCAGCTCCCAGTTCAGCATCACTGGTGGGTACTGGGAGGGGGACTGGGATGGGACCCCCAATGGGGATGGGGATAGGACCCCCAGTGGGGACGGGAATGGGACCCCCAATGAGGATGAGGATGGGACTCCCAGTGGGGACGGAGATGGGACCCCAGTGGGGATGGGGATGGGACCCCAATGGGGACAGGAATGGGACCCCAATGGGTGCGGGTGAGCTGATGGTGTCCCCACGTGTGTGTCCCCCCCCAGACCAGGTCCCATTCGCGGTGGACGTGGCGCAGGTCCCCGGTGCCGTGGATGGCGCCGGGCGCTACGTGCGGAACCGCGCCGTGGCCTTCACCGTGCGGCTGCACGACCCCAGCCGCTTCCTGCGCGACGCCGACGTCTCCTACTCCTGGGACTTCGGGGACGGGAGCGGGACCCTCATCTCCCGCAGCGCCACCGTCACCCACACGTACCTGGAGGCCGGCTCCTTCGCCGCCCGCATGGTGCTGCAGGCTGCCATCCCCCTGAGCCCCTGCGGCACCTCCGCGGCGCCCGTCGTGGGCCCCACCACCGGCGCATCACCGACAGCCCCGCTCCCCACCACGCCGGGAGTGCCCAGCACTGGTAAGGGGGCACCAGCCCCCATCCCATCGCCACGGGTACCAGGGGGGTTCTCCCCATCGTCACTCTCTGCCCATAGCACCAGCAGCATCCGGCTCACCCACGGGGGGATCGGCAGCCGTCACCGTGCCCTCGGACACCGCTGTTACCGTGCCTTTGGATCCAACCATCACTGGTGTCTTGGACCCTGTTGTCACTGATGCCGCGGATGCTGCTGCCACTGATGCCTTGGACCCCGTCATCACTGATGCCTTGGACCCCGCTGTCACCGATGCCTTGGATGCTGCTGTCACTGAGCCCGTCCTCGTGGCACTCAGCACCCCAGCAGCTGCTGCCGCGGGTACCGGTCCCGCTGCCACTGTGGTCCCCGTGCTCCCCACCTCGGTGGCCCCGCTGGGGATGCTCTGGGCACTGCAGCTGCTGTAGACACAGAGGGAATGGTGGCTACAGGTGGGTATTGGGGGGTCCTGGCGGGGTCCCAGCTCCTTCTGCCTCTTCCTTACCATTGGCTTCTCCTGCAGACGCAGCCATGGCTGTATCCGTGGCTGTAGCCACAGTTGGAGCCACGGATGGAGCCACGGATGGAGCCACGGATGGAGCCACGGATGGGGCCACAGCCATGTCCATGGCTGAGGCCACGGATGCAGCCACGGATGCAGCCGTGGTTGGAGCCACAGACGCAGCCACGGATACAGCCACAGATGCAGCCGTGGTTGGAGCCACAGACGCAGCCACGGATACAGCCACAGATGCAGCCGTGGTTGGAGCCACAGCTGGAGCCACGGGTGCAGCCACGGCAGAGCCGCTGGTGCTGGTGAAGCGCCAGGCACCGGCCGCCGAAGCCACCGGCTGCATCCTGTACCGCTACGGCACCTTCTCCACGCAGCTCGACATCGTCCGTGAGTGCGGGACCGGGGGGGCCGGTGGGGAGGGGGGGATCCGCGCCCGCCCTGACCCCGCACCCATTGCAGAGGGCATCGAGAGCGTCTCCATCGTGCAGGTGGTGCCGGTGGCGGCAGAGGGCGGCGAGAGCAGCGTGGAGCTGACGGTGACGTGCGAGGGGAGGTGAGGGCCGGCGGGGACGCGACGGGACGGGGATGGGCACGGGGACGGGAGCGGGGACCCCGGCGGGGACAGGAACAGGGACGGGAGCGGGGACCCCGCGGGGATGGGAGCGGGGACGGGAATGGGGACGGGACGGGAGCGGGGGTCCGGCGCTGTTGGAACTGGGATGGGGATGGGAGCGGGGTCCCGGCGGGGACAGCAACGGAGATGGGAGAGGGTGCCCGGAGGGGATGGGAACGGGAATGGGAGCGGGGAACCAGACGGGGATGGGGATGGGAGCGGGGTCCCGGTGGGGACGGGAACGGGAATGGGAGCGGGAACCCGACGGGGATATAGGGATGGGAGCGGGGTCCTGGACGGGAACGGGATGGGAGCGGGGAACCCGACGGGGATAGGGATGGGAGCGGGGTCCTGGACGGGAACGGGGATGGGAGCGGGGAACCCGATGGGGATGGGAGCGGGGTCCCGGTGTGGACGGGGACGGAGCGGGGCCCGGCAGGGGCTGACCCCCGCCCGCAGCCGCCCCGAGCAGGTCTGCACCGTGGTGGCGGACGCCGAGTGCCGGGAGGCGGCGGCGGCTCAGACGTGCTCGGCCGTGGAGCCGGGCCCCGGGTGCCAGCTCCTCCTGCGCCAGGACTTCAACGGCTCCGGGCTCTTCTGCCTCAACGTGTCCCTGGCGGCCGGCGGCAGCCTCGCCGTGGCCAGCACCCGGCTCAGCGTCGGAGGTGGAGGTGGGATGGGAGGGGGGAAAACATCCATTGGGATTGGAAGGGGAGGCGGTGGGATGGGGGGGGGGGGCAGAATCTGGTGGGACTTGGGGGGGTA